GAGCGACAGCTGAAAGAAGAAAGAGAGCTGCAATTGAAGCTGGAGCTGGAGAAAGAAAGACTGGCAGCTGAGAGGGCGAAAGAAGAAAGAGAGGAAAGGGAACGGCAGCGTCAGCACGAAATTGAACTCGAGCGGCTCCGTTTGCAACAGCGAAACGAAACTCCCGTCCAAGCTAGAGTTGAAAGCAGCGAACGGGAAGACCATGGCTTCCGCTTGAACCCAAGCAAGCTGCTCGTAGCGTTTGATGAAAGGAAGGACGACCTAGACGCGTACCTCCACCGATTTGAGACGATTGCGAAGAGCCAGAATTGGCCGGAACATCAATGGGCAACTGCTTTGAGTACTTGCTTGAGTGGTGAAGCGCTCAGTGTGTACGGTAGGCTGACGCCGACCGATGCAGCCAACTACGCAAAGGTGAAAGCTGCTTTGTTGAAGCGATTTAGATTCACTGTGGAAGGATTCCGGGACAGATTTCGGACAGGAAAGCCAGCTGATGGTGAGACGGCTACGCAGTATGCCGCCCGACTTTGCCATTATTTCGACAGATGGATTGAACTTTCAGGGACAGCGCAGGAGTACGATGAACTTAGAGAGCTCCTAATTAGAGAACAATTTCTTACTAGTTGCCACCCAAGCCTGTCGCTTTATCTGAAAGAGAGGAAGGCTGAGTCATTTGAAGGAATGCTTGAATTGGCTGATCAATTCTTGGAAGCGCAAGGTGGCACTAATTTGGCCAAGGTAAAGAAGGAGTGCCCCGATGATTCGAAGAAATTGGCTCCCGAAGAAAAGAAGCGTGCACCAGAGAGCATTCAGCGATGCTTTCTGTGTAACCGAGTGGGTCATCGCGCGAAAAACTGTCGAACGATCTTTACGAGCCCTACGGTAGTGAAATGTTTTAAGTGTGGTCAGACTGGGCACAAAGCAGATGCATGTCGAAACGGAGCGAGCCAAACTCACCAGGTATCCTGTGTGCAAGCGGCACCGAAATCTGATAATAATGCCGTCACTGATGGATTCGTAGAGTTGAAGAATGGGGAGAAAATTCCTATTGTCGGTGCTGTAATGTCAAAACAGCCAACCGGTGTTACGAAAGGAATGCCAGCGCGGCCTGGAAAAATTGCGGGCAAAAAAGTTACGGTGTTAAGAGATACCGGCAGCTCCACTGTTATCGTGAGGAGAAATTTGGTACGGGAAAGAGAGTTGACAGGCAGAACGAAACCGGTTTGCCTAATTGACCGTACGGTCCGGATGCTTCCCGAAGCAGAAATTGAGGTTGAAACCCCGTACTTCAGCGGGAAGGTTACTGCTTTATGCATGACGACCCCCCTGTATGATCTTGTCATCGGAAACATCGACGGGGCGCGAGGGCCAAGTGATCCAGAATGTTTGGGAGAAGACCCGAAGATAGAGCCCTCGCCAACACAGCGGCCGCGAGATACAGTGGAGGAGCATCCCGTGACGGATCTCACTAGAGCCCAAGGTGAAGCTGCGGCGCAAGAGACAGCGAAGGAGAAGACGATCGTGTCGAATAAGTTCACGGGCCGAGCAACCGGACTTACGTCGGCACGACCTGAACCGACCGACAGTGTAAAGGAGACGGAGTTGACCAGCCGGGCAAAATGTAGAGGCATGATCAAGCGGGTAAATAAACAGACAGGACCCGTCGAATGTAATGACGCATTAACGGTGTCGGAAGAGACAACGATGGCTGAGACGACGCCTCAGATATCGTCGTGGGAAAGGGCTCGCCGAAAAAGAACGTGGAAACACAAGAATAGATCGAGCGAGCACCGCAAAAAGGGGCGCAAGCGCTGTTCGAAGTACTCAAGATAGGTGCTGAGGTGGAATCAGAATGTGTTCGGCAGGGCTGAGTGACATATGTTGAGTTAATGTTCTTGTTATCCTGTGTCTCAAGTGTATGTCGAGTGAGTCAGTGTTCTGTGCGATGGTGTGATGTATAGTGTTGTATAATTGTTGGATAGACAGAACTTTGTACGTTTGTATTGTTTAGAATGTGTGATGAAGTGTTGTAGGCATGTACCTGTGGTTATATTTCATGTGTTGTGGAATTGAACTACAATGTACGTTTGTATTGAGTGATATATTGTGAATGTGAAGTGTCATGAGCGACGGATTGTGTTACAGTCTGTGAGAATGTGTGGTGACTGTTCGCGCTCGTCTGTGTGGTTTTTGAATATTATGAGATAATATTCTTAAAGTGGGGGGCAGTGTCACAGAACGAGCGCTAAACAAGAGCGCGCCGCCAAATACTTGCGACAACGGGCGGCAGAAACGCCGCGAGGTAAAAAGGAAAAAAAAAAGAAAGCAAACATCCAGGGCTCCCGGGCGCGCGCTCTCCCCGCAGAAGCACGGCTTCGCAGACGATCCTCCTCACCCCACATCGGCGGCCCAGCAGGACCGCGATTTTTCTCGAACGAACGGGGCGGGGTCAGACCGAGCTGAGTCATCCGACGCGGAGGGCAGACAAACCGTCTCGCCTCTCCCCAGCCTTCGCTGCGTATCGCGCCGACGAAATGACGAGAAAGATCTGGAAAGTCGCGCGCAAGGTATTTAACCGAGCAGCCGAGACGAGAAATCAGGGAGGTGACGGAAGATTAACGCCAGAGCGCGTAGGGATTCCGCCGTGGAGTCGGCGAAGGTTTCGTTCGTAGTGACGAAGCAGGAGATAGAGAGGAATTCCACCTGTGGGTGAAGGCTCGAGCTACAGGCAAGAGCGTGGGTTTACCGCTATCGAGCGAAGACGCGGGCAACAGCTGCGTGTGTGGAGCCGACGGATTTCCGGCGAAGAAGTTTGAAGCTTGGAGAGTGGCCATTTGAGGACGCGAGGTTTCCTGGAAGAGAAACTTCGAGAACTACGGAACGACAACAACGCTGGACTTTGAGTGAGTGATTCTCGGAAGAGTATCATTCAGACTTTTGTTCCAAGGACTTTGGACTGAATAGGTTTTCTATCTCTTTAGTCCTTAAGTGTCTTGGTTGTTCAATGCATGCGACTGCATCTTAGAGCGTATTGTTGTCTGTGTCAGTTGTTTTGAGTGTGGCTGATTGTACTGTGCAGAACGTTGTCTGATTGGTGACGTATTGTATGTAACTATTGTGGAGTGTGCATTTTTGTGTATTATTTTCGATCTGCCATTAATGAGAATATAATTTTGTTTGTTTATCAACTCTCGGCTCTGTCTTGTTCTTTGGGCCACAGCTGGCGTCCGCTGGCGCACCAATAAGGACCACTTCTAAGTTGTCCACGCTTTCGTGGTGCGGTTCGGGAGGCCGATACTTCGGCTCTTGGAATTAGCCCGGCGATCGCCTCCCTAATAAACGGGACAGGTGTGACACCTTCCTAGAGGAGCGTGGGTTTTATATGCCTTGGGGATCTCACTGTCTAATCTGTAAGAAACCGGAAACTATCGGCCATGTTTTCCTGCACTGTTGGGAAGGAGTTTATTTTTGGGACGTATTACAACGGACAATCAAAAAAGAGTTTCCGTTAGACCCTCATGGTATCAGGTATTTGGCAATAGAGAACGAGGATGGATTACCTTTCGATTTTATCATGATGACTGCCTTGCACAGTATATGGCGCTCTAGAATGGCTGGATTTCATTGTGACCCAGACAGAAGACCAGCAAGAGAGTATTTTAAGGAAAGCATCTCAAGATTACTTGAGGTAGTAAGAACAGACGAATGTGTACCTTTGTGGGTAGAAAGGGTAGAAGCCCTACTGACCATGAAGGAATTCTAGGATGCGATGTGTTATAGTTATGTTTTAAGTTTTTTTTGTATTGTATGTAGTGAATTGTAATATATCTTAGTAACCCGTTTCTGAAGTTTACCGGAAATAATAATAATAAAAAAAAAGGTTTTGTAGCTGAGTGGTCTGACGCGTCGCTCCGGAGAGTTCACCGTAGTTTTGAAGTGCATGAGTTCGAATCCACGTGGTGCCATTTTTTTTTATAATTTTTGGCGAATTCAATTTGAAATCTTGTTTTTTTTTCAGTAACTTCAACTTACTTGCACGCGGAAGTGAACTGCACGTATCTATTCATTTGTAGCATACCGTGTCCGTGTTCCCTTGTGAGGGCCGGAACCTGCTGAGCTGGCACCAAGGTTTGACCAGCATGGCGATTTTGTCGCGATTATACCGCATTGTCGGTTTACCTCGTTGATGTGAGCGAGTACTGCGTGTAAGATGACGTTAATTCATTGATTAGATAGCACAGCAGCTCCAATGAGGCTGGGTTAACGACAGGTGCATTTTTTCGAAGCTGCCACAACAAGCAAAAAAAAAAAAAAAAACGGCGGCGCGGGTCGCGCGGAGAGCGAAAACCTGACACAAAAGCGACAAACATAAATTACCAACTCGCATATAAGAATTGTTTATCCGACAACACAGGCGTTTGTTTTTTAATTTGATGACAAATATGTATGCTTAAAAGTTTCCCAAGAAGCATTTATTGATTCCCGTACACCCCAAGCGACGCACTACTTTTTGGTCGCGGCAGTACACAGCGCAAACAGGAGCGCTAGCTTTGACAGCGTTGTACATGATGTATAAAACGGAGTATAGTGAGGAACTCTACCTGAACCACCGAATAAAGAACGCCTAAATCGCCTGAAAAATATTTTCCAACACACCGATTCTAGCGCTACCTATTCATACACTTTAAGCGGCTATTGGGTGAACCAAACGTGTTTGCCTCGAAAAGGTTCGTGCCACCGGGTGAACCGAAACACTTCCCACCTCTACTTACGTAGGGCTAACTATAAACAATTATACTTATGTTTGCGCCTTTTTAAAACTTTTTAAAGTTATTTTTGTTGTATATAAGCTCTAAAAATGCAAAAGTTTTTTTGAAGACAACCTTACTTAAGTGGCGTCACCACCGCAGCTGGTAGGAGTCCTGTGACCGCAGTTCCGACGACGGCCGCTTCACGTGACCGCCGATAATCCGGCAGGCAAGAGAATCTAGGAGGCTGTGGTACAGCCATATCAATCCATTCATCCATCGTTGCGGTAGTCGCCTTGGTCTAGCCGCCCTAGTCTAGCTTGCCGTGTAGCTAGCGGTTTCGTCTGTCAGATGAGGAGCATCAACGCGCACTATTATTGTGTTGCTCGTGTTTCGTCGGCTTGCACTGGTGATCTTGTGGTAATCTGAGCTTCGCATGACTGCGTGCCATCGATGACACAGCGCACAGCTGTGCCACAGTTACTTTTCTGTGATGTTGATTCGTTGACCCCTCGAACCGTTCCTGCCGGCCGCGCCATGAGCTACCAGTTATCTGGCGACATCATTAACCTGAACGTTGGCGGAACCAGGTGAGACGCCTCTTAGGGTTTCAGGGCCCGAAACCAGTGATAATGCTTGCTTGAATCCCCGCCTCCAAAGTGTATTTTGATGACCACTTCATGTGCGTTCCAGCAATATCCTGACATTACGGTTGCATAGAATCTGGCGTAATTCCTTGGCACTTGTTCCTTTTCGTCCACCAACGTCATCACATATTATATAAAGAAAATGTTTCATAGCAACCGTAAAGAAACAGTGATCTACCTTAAAGAAAGTTTGACTGTGCTCTCGAAGGCGCCAGCTGCAGAAATGGTGCACCGCGGTAAAAAAAAAAATAAAAAATTTAACTGTGCATATGCTCAGGTATGGTATAACTTGTGCATCTTAAACTGACAGACAGACACGTATAAAGGACGGGCGCTAGACCTGCGTCCGGCGAAAGTTGACCAGTTTTCGTGAAGCCTTCAGTTCCAGGTGCTCCGCACCTACGCAGGGCTCTCTTGGGGGGAAGTGATTTTAGGTGAAAAGAAGAGAAAAGTGAGCCCCGTAACTGTCTCTCAGGGGGAGGGCACCTCAACAGTAGCTCACAAGGGATGGGGGTAGAGAGGGATTAAAAAATAAAAAGATAGAGAGAGAGGAAGGAGAGAGTGAGGTGCAGGGACAGCTAACGATGGAAGTAAGAAAACAGGAAAGATGAACACAGTCGCAGGAGTCGGTGGACGGGGCACTACTGGCGAGAGCTCTTGTCGGCGATAGGAGATAGCGTAGGACGAGTCCAGTAGGCCAGAGCTAGACTGTCGTCGAAGATCGGTGTCAGGAGATGCAGTAGGGCCAGCCCAGCTGTCTAGAGCTACGCCTACATCAGAGATCGCGAGGGCACAACCGGTCAGCATGAAGTTCAGTGAATGAGTCCCCAAGGACTGTCTTCCCCGATGGCTTACATCGCCGGATTAAAGAATTGATATTCCAGGATCCACACTGGCGTCAATCAAGCAGCACTAAAACGATGCGGCCCTTGGTTACGTTTTTCCACCACCTCAAAAGGGTGACCTAAACGTGCAGCATTGTTTTTTCGGCATTTGGCAAATTTGCACTTAGTCAATGCAATTTGCACTGTCATGTAAAGGCTGGTGGCACAAGAAAGCATAGGACACATTGCATTGAATGCAAAGTGGAAGTAATGTACATGGTCCCACCAACTCGTGGAATGTGCTGTGCTGCATCGATGAAAGGCTGCCCCGCAAGGGAGTCTGTGCAAGTAGGCGTCTGGTGCGTAGCGACACCACGGGCTCAAGCTAACGGGGGAGTTTCGACACTCTCCCACGCCTAGGCGTGCGTGGCATTGGCATTTTTGAAGAAAAGGGGATCCTGAGGGTTGACCTGACGTCGGTGGATGAGACCTTAAGGCCCCCGGGCAGAGGCAACACACCCCTTTGGCCCCGGCCCCGGCTTTACGTAGACGGCACCCCTGGGCTAACTCATCCAGGGGAAATCGGCAGTCGCCTTTTTCTATCTCTCTCTTCCTACATCTTCGTCTTTATCTCTCACTTTTTATCTGTCCTGTCTTCTACTCTCTTCCGTTTACTTCCCATTTTCCTGGCGGCAAGGGTCAACACTGTGCAAATAGCCTACCTTGGTCTAAGCGCATTGGGTTATGGCAGTGTTGTACGGCTGACGCCTGCAAGCTTTCAGCATCCGCAAACTTGCAACGTCCCCTTGTTGGGCTCCGTAGTGGGCGGCCGCCAATGCTGCTGAATAAAAATTAAACCAGCATGCATAGAGCTTTCCCCCCACTTACCAATCGTACTGGCTTAAAGCGAGGTACGCACTGATGACCTAAATTTTTTCGACCAGCCAATAGAAACATTTCCGCACTTCCACGTCATTCACTGTGAAAAAACTGAAAAGAAAACCAGGACTGTATCTCCTTTCGTAGTTGCCAGGTGTCTTACCAAAACTCTCGGGGCTGGATACAAGGTAACCAAAATGGCTAGCAGAGACCTCCTCCTCAGAATTGTGATCAAAGAACAATTTGAAAAGCTAGACGGCCTCTCAACTTTCGGTGACGTACCGATCACCGTAACACCACACAGATCAATGAAAATAACTCGCGGAGTGGTATCTGACACAGACTTTCTTTACGTGAACGAAACTGAACTTTTGGAGGGGTGGAAAAACCAAAATGTGACTAATGTACAGAGAATTATCATCAGAATAGATAACAAGGAAACACCAACGAAAAACTGAATACTCGCGTTTGCTTCCAGTAAACATCCAGAATCCATTAAAACAGGGTACACAAAGACCTCTCTCAGGCTATAAATACCAAACCCTCGTCGTTGCTTCCAATGCCAGAGGTATTGCCACGGCTTTAAAAGCTGTCGTGGTCGCCAGACTTGTGCAAAATGTGGAGTCCTAGGCCACGTGTCTGAGAACTGCAAACAACCGTCACACTGTGTAAACTGTGAAAGAAACCATGCGGCATATTTACGCTCCTCCGCATACTGGAAGACAGGAAAGGAGATAATTAGATTGAAGGTGATGGAAAACATTTCATTTAAGGAAGCACGGCGAAGAGTCTCGCCATTTTATCGACCTACATACGCTGATACGACGCGTCAGGGGCACCGCCGCAACAGCCCTTGTCACTCCTTCAGCCCGCGCATAGCGAGCCGGCGGTTGTGGCACCTGCTTCCATGGTGGCTGTAGTCCAGACTACTCTGCCTACTTGCCAACAGAGACCGGAGACTCCAGGTTCCTCAGGTCTCAAGGCCTCGCCTCACCAGGCGAGGCCCAGAATTCGAACTACCAGCTCACACGTGCGAGCATCCAGTGCCTCCGAGTAGGCAATGGATATGTCGGTACCCTTAGGGCCGAAAGAAAGGCGTGGCTCCTTGGAGCGCACCAAGGAAACAAAAAAGCAGATAACAAGGCCTGGTGATGGCCCTGTTACATGAATTCAAACTCCCCACCTAAACAGCCACTCGCTTTTCAAACACACAGATCTACTTTACATTTACTACGAACACTCGAATTATACATTGGAATGTCAGGGACCTTCTCAGGAACCTTGAATACGTCCAAGAACTTTTGCACGAACATTCGCCAAAAGTGCTGTGTGTACAAGAAACACACCTAAATTCAAAACACACCAACTTTCTCTGTAAATACATTATTTTCCGAAAGGACCGTGATGATGCCATGACATTATTCGGAGGTGTTGCCATTATACTGAATCAAGGGATTTGATGTGCACACTTTAAACTCCGATCATCTCTTGAAGCAGCGGCTGTGTGAGCTGTGCTTTTCAACACACTGATCACAATTTGTACTTTTTATGTACGTCCAAGCTATCACCTACAAAAACATAACTTCCATTCCTTAATAGACTAACTTCTGGAGCTTTATGTTCTTCTTGGAGACTTGAATGCTCATAGCAAGCTATGGGGTGACTCTCGTTGCGAAGCAAGAGGTCAACCGATTAACAGTTCCTTCTCTCGTCGAGCGCGTCTTCTGAGTGGAAAAGAACCAACCTATTACAATATTTCTAATGTAACGAGGGCAGTGGGCATGGAGCTCGAGTATAGAAAAGGAAGAAGACTTGCTGTGATCGCAGGCTTGGGTTCAGTTAGCCGTTGCGCTAAATAAAGCTCTCGTTTGCCGAGTCAACCCCTGCTTGTTCAACAACCCGTTTCAAGTGGTGGAGGTGCTGGGTATCGATCCCCGTACCTCTCGCACTAATAATCCCCGCACCGTTTCACTAATAATACTTACTCCTTCATATATCTAACCATAGTATCTCCATCTCTTGTGCCTCTACTCAAGTTGAAAGTTGTCAGTAATCCCTATGGAAGTGACACTTCCCCTTTGTTTTGAGCACAACTACAGCAACTGAGTGTCCACCACAGGTTCCCAAATGGCTTATAAGCAGAGCCGACTGGGAACAGTTTTATACCATCGCTCGCTTAGATTGGAGTGACATATGTACTTTGAGCATTGATGCTGCTGTCAACTATTTCACAGCGTTTTTGATTGATGCTGCAATAAAATGCATCCTTCAAACGAATGAACACCCTAGAAAACGACGTGTGCCGTAGTGGAACTCTGAATGCCGAAACACGCCAACAGCAAAACAGAGCAAGGGGGTTGCTTCAGAACTCACCGACAGCCGAAAATCTTGACAGCTTTAAGAAAATAGTCTCAAGGCTGGAGAATGCGTCGGCAAGCCAGAAGAGAAAGCTGGCAAAAGTTTTTGTCAAGGATCAATTCACATACACAGGATGCTAAACCCTGGAACATGGTTGGTAGGGTAGCAGGAAGACAAGCACACTCGCTTCCACTTGTAAACACACAGGGTGATACCTCGGAAGATCAAGCGAACTTCCTCAGTGCACACTTCGAACGGGTGTACAGCTCGTCACACTATACTGATGCTTTCCAAAAATACAGAACAAGAATAGAAAAGCAGAAACTCGAACACAAATGTACTAGATACAAGGCATACAACCAAGCTTTCAGCTTAGGTGAGCTCCGAACATCACTAAACTTTTGCAGTAATTCTGCCCCAGGCTCTGACCGTGTGGTGTATGAAATGTTGAAAAACCTATTAATCGAAACACAAAAAACCTTTCTTCGTTTGAAGAATGCTATCTGATTATCTGGCGCTGTCCCTATTTCCTGGAAAGTGGTTATTGTTATTCCCACTTTGAATCCACAAGGACCATTCTTCAGTTTCGAGTTATAGGACTATTGCACTTACCTGCTGCCTGTGCAAACTTTTTGAAAAAATGATAAACTGCCGACTTGTACATTTGTTTGAAACAAACAATTCGCTCGACCAATTCCAGTGCGGGTTTCGAGAGGGTAGATCCACCACCTACCACCTTGTTGGTATCGAGGCACAGATCAGAAACGCTTTCGTTCATAAGCAATACTTTTTCTTCGTGTTTTTCCATATTGAAAAGGCCTATGATACAAAATGGCGCTTAGGAATACTAAGAGGCCTGTCCCATCTTGGCATGCATGGCAG